ATTTTGCAAAAACACAAGTTGTTTGTAGAGAAAATTTGGTACAAGTGATCATCAGAAAGAGTTGTGTGATCGGCCCCCCGAAATATTATTTCATCTTTATTTTTTTCATTATATGAGTTACTTTATAGATAATTTTTCAAACTATCGTCAAGATCATTACTATTTAGATTGCTATTCATATTATTATTCAGACCTGTGTTTATATTGATATTTAGATCATTGTTTATATTATTGTTAAGATTGATGCTCATATCATCTTTCAGTTTGTCATTCATATCATCATTCATATTATATTTCAGATTATCATTTAAGATGCTATTTATATTATTGTTTAGATCATTTTTTAAGTTCTTATTATTCAAGTTGTTATTCAATTTATTATTTATTTCATTATTGTTCAAATCACTATTTATCTTAGCAAAGTTATCATTCAAGCTATTACTTGAGTTCTTATTATTCAGACTATTACTCACAACATTATTCAGTTCATTATTTAGTTTGTAGATACTAGTTTCAAGACTTTCGTTAACAATATTTTTATTTTGCAGATCAGTTTTAACTTTAAGAACTTCTATATTGTCTAGGTTGTTACAATTTTTACTTTTAAGAATTTTGATACTTTTATTGTTTGAATTTAGATTAATTCTAAAAATATTATTCTAAAAATATTATTATTAAAACCATTTTTGCATTTTGCATATTCTATGTTATCTATATTATTTATTAAATAAAAAAATTAGAGAAAAAAGCAAAAAAAAAATTGATCAATCACAATTATATATAAAAAAAATATAATCAGACTTTAAAAAGCAAAATGTATAAAATTATCATTATATAATTAGTTATTTTTTATAAAATTAAAAAAAAAGCAAACCTTCAAAAAAAAGAAAAGACGAAAAAAACAAAACAAAACAAAAAATTTAATATAATAAATAGCACATATAGCATATACATATATATGTATATATATATATAATAAGTACTTAATCAGTTTTATATATCACTACACTACTTATTATTATTATATGCATTATATTTCAATTATTAATTTTTTATTGGCTAATTAAAGTAATGATTATCATATGACATGTGGCTAGAAATTGATTTGCACTATAAATCTAGCACATATTTCTGACATATCTATTTATCAAATAACTAATTATATATATAATTCTAAAATACAGATTACTTCTGTTAATATTAATCTCATTAATATCAACCTAAGCTACCAAACAAATTTTTATAAATTTTATATATCAAAATTCCTTCATATATATCAACTTTAATATGATTTCTTATTAATTTCACTATTAATATGATTTAAACCCAATTCAAATAAGTTGATATTAACAAAGATAACCTGTATTTGATTTATATACTATAAATATAATATAATAAAAAAACTAATACTCCAAAACAAATTAACTTTTAATTATATTATCTGTTGTTGTTTTGGTATATTAAAAATATATACAAGGTTGCAGAGCAGACAAAATTCTTAAAACTTGTTAAAGCTAGAATTTAGAGAGAAATAGTTTATATAGTAAAATTGTCTAACAAAAATTTATTTTATTTTTTTTGTTTTAGCGATCCTTTTTTTATTATTTATATTAGTGTAAAATTATCTTGTAGAGACTAATCTACTTATAAAAATATATATGTCTGTACTAATAAAGAACTACTTGATCTATTTAACAAGAACCTAAAATAGATTTCACAAAGAAGACCCAGGTGTGACCCACCTAAGTGGTTCATTTTTACCTTGTTTGGGATTTCTATTTTACTAA